CAGGTATATAAATAGAATATGATTCAAACAAAAGTTTTCTCTCAGCACCAGAAAAGGGGATTCTATAATTCATATATAACATTGCAAGAACACCTAGAAAAATCCAGAGGGAAGGGAGAGCAACCAGTGGAAATACACACAATCTTCAATACAAAATGTAATACAGGAGCTCAAAGTATAAATAATTTAAAGACCAAAATACAAGACAGACAGTAGAAACAGGGGATAGATCTTTTATAAATGGGAAGAAGACTGAGAGGTACAGGGAAGGAGAAGAGAGAAAAGAAGTCAAATATGTACTATGTACATGTACCAACTGCCTACTATGAATGCGATCATTGAGTACTACAACCTTGGCCTAATAAAAATTTTATTTTATTTTTATTATTTTTTTGTATTTTAGGGAAGGGTCTACAGGGTGTTCACGGTCTCACTACAGGATCGGACTCCTAGTGATCTATCTGCCTGTTTACAGCCTCCCAAGAGCAGAGATTACAGGTGCATGCCACCATGCCCAGTCTCAATTGCTATCTCAATGCACCCCGGGGATGGGGCTGGCATGGTAGGCCTGGGTTATCAAACCCCCAGCCCCTACACCTGCTTTCAGGTGCTTCAATCCACTGAGCTATTTGGCCGGCCCCTAACAATTTTAAAAAGTAAAAAACAAAACCAAGAAGCCTCTGTAATGAAAATCATGAAGTACTGGTGCCTAAGGTGCCAACTAGACAGACTGGTTAAAATGTTTGGAAAAAGACACAAGCACAGATTTATATAATGAAGAGGAAGAGATCATTTTTAAAAACTCAGGTTGGAACAATTAGACATGAAAAAAGAAACTGGACCACACTTCCCAACACAAACCAGAGTAATAACATTCTTGATGGGAGACTTAAACACTGAAAACGAAGCTGTATCAATCCTAGGAGAAAACAAGGATAACTTCTTTGTTGTCCTCCTTGAGGAGAAATCTGCTTGTAAACCAAGTTTTTGGACTGAAAAGCCAAAAGCCAAAAGCCAAGCGACAAGTAAAAGAAAATACTATTTAAAACCTTTATTATTAAGAGACAACAGGTCTCCCTATTAAGCCAAAACATACAGATACAAGCTAAAGGTATTTCTGAATCTGTGCTGGAAATATCAAAATAAACTCATAGATAAAAAAAAATTTTCATTTCCTACCTAGAAAAAAAGATCTAGAAGCAATCATTTGTCCGTAACAACGAGGGTACTGAATTCCATATTTTAGTTTCTAAATTCCATCTGCTAATAGCACCAGGGCTTATACAAGAAATGACTTGCAGCACTGGAAAGTACAAGGGGAACCCAGAATATTAGGAGCACGGAAGCGGCTGAATGTTAAATGCTTCATATCAAAGGACAAGAACAGGCATAAAACGGGGATGTGGTTCAGTCATAGAGTTCTTGCCTTGCATGTACAAGGCCCTGGGTTAGATCCCCAGAACCACATACAAAAGAATAGGCATGAAAGGTTTTCCTCTGCCAAACTAGTGGACAATTTGAGCAATGAAAGAAAATGATAGCAAATAAATATAACAAATAGTAAGAAAAAAAATCCATAGTATTCAAAAGAAAAGGAGAGAAAAGAAAGGAAAAACAGCAATCAAAGCTATTCAACTAGGAGCACTAAGAGAAAGCATTAGAAAAGTGTCATTTTATATTCCTTCTCCACTATGATAATTTACACAAGGAATATCAAGTGATTCTTAAACCACTCAGTAGGCTATTATGGAACAGGGTACAGTATTCACAGGGTTTCAAGGTACTGTCTTACATATTACAATACTCACCAATTGTAAGAGGAAAATTTTTTTTACTGTTGAGATGATCTTTAGTCATCTTCATTGGCCTAAACTTATTGAAATCAACAGTTGGACAAATGACATTATGTGTCATGTCATAAAATGTGAAACGGTATGGGGCCAGGTAGATAGCTCAGTAAAATAAGCGCACTTGCCTGGCAAGCGCAAGGGCCTGGGTTCAATCCCATTCCGCCCCCCCTCCAAAAAAAAA